GTATAGGAAGCCTACAACAACAGATCAGTACACTCATTTTTTGAGTTTTGTACCTTTGAAATATAAACGTAACCTCGTGAAGTGTCTGGCTCACAGAGCTAGGTTAATCTGTTCAGACGACTGCCTCAATGAGGAGCTTAAGATTATTAGAGAATTACTTAGAAAAAATGGCTATCCAGATAAATTCATTGAGAAAAATATAAATTCAGCTCCAAGGAGAGTCAGTATGGCCACAGTCCCGAAAAAACCAATGTTCATAAAATTGCAGTTCCTCGGTGAAAACATCAGAGAAATAATAACACAGCGCCTGAAGAATGCAGTTAAAGAACTTATTATGCAGCAGAGGTACGTTGTCTCTTTACAACCACACCTATTTTATGTTCGAGAAATAAGGATAAACTACCTAAATTCGCCTCCTCTGTGTGTATCTACCAGTTTGACTGCATCTGCGGAGCCAGCTACATTGGGCGTACAATTAGGCAAGTTCATTGTCGTATTTCCGAACATCATTCAACGTGGTTAAGTAAGGGACGAAAAAGATCTATTCGTAGCTCTATTTTAGCCCACATCGTTGATACTGAGCATAAGATTAATGTAAATACAGCATTTAAAATTATTTATCGCATTCCAACTTATCTTAATTTTGCTTTGCAAGTTCATCTTCTACAGACGGCTGAGGCGATTAGCATTCATCTGAAGAAGCCAAGACTACGTGTACAGAAAAAATTTGTACAGCCACTTTCCCTACCGTGGCCATCGTCACAAGAATGGATAAACAGGACTGCGTCACCCCCTCCCCCTAAACCTATAAAATTATATGTGTCTAAATTATTTATTTTATTTTCATTTATTTTGACCACTTAATCTTTAATTTACGTGTTATACTTGTAAAATTAATTTATTCTATCCATTTCCACCTTTTAAATCTGTATTGATTTTCTTCGTTAACTATTAACCCATTGACACTGTTTAATTATTGTTAACAAACTTATCGCCACTTGATTGGCAAACTGTTGTATTGTAATTAAAATGCTATACCTGTATATTAGAGTAGAGCCAGAGTGAGATGAGGATCTAATTGAAAAGTAAATATTTCTTCGCTCAATCTTTCTGTTTTCTAAATGTCTAATTGATTGAACCAATCAATATTTTACGGCTAACGATGAGAATTAGTCCATCTTAACATCAGCACAAGTAAAAGCGATTGTACTTGTTATTAATGACATTTTGAGGTATACTACGGAAATATTTTTGCAAATCACACAATGATGTCACGCAATGAATCAGAGAAATTTTGACAATACCAGTCATTGAAATACATCTACGCTTGAGTAATGAGAGGTTTTAAAAATTTCTCTATGAGACATAATGCTTCGAAATCCCTAATATGAACGCTAACGCTTGAATGCATAGCAGGAATTTTGCTGACTGATAAAATCCAAGACTATGAAATGTATACTACTGCCTACATCGCATGTGCTCTGGTGGTTCAATGGAAGAATTCTCGTCAACCACATGCCAATGTGGCCCAAGATTCGATTCTCGGCTGACGCTCTCCTCTACGACTCTTAGCCAGCTGTAAGCCTGTTCGAAATGGAAAGTTAAGCGTGAGGCTAGTGTCTTCTTCCGTTTAAAAACACCACTGCTACTGAAACTCCAAGACTCAAGCTTGAAGCCCTGTGTTCCGAAAGGAACAAAAAGGAATGAGAGGGCATACACTGCAACCAGGATAGATGGACTCCGAGAATGCTTACGATTTTGACACCTACACCAATTAACATTCCATTGGCGTGTCTGTTTGTGTATAGCTGACTTTCAAACGTACATAACTGATATGATTATGAAGAATAAATTTTGTTCGAAACGTGATCCAGTAAATAATAGTGTTTCACAAGCTAATATGGAAGTACATATATCAAGTTTTTCTATTGAACGTTTTCTAAATAGGGAGCTCATCACAATTTTGCTTTATCCGATTACTGTGTCTAACATACGGAGAGCATCGTTATCTTCTAAATTTTGACTAAAGGTTTATTAAATCCCAATGATACAACCAAATTCAGACATTTACTTCATGCTCAGTGTATCTGTCCATCTTTTGTACTGTATTTTTATCCCTTACACTGTTAAAAGCTTATTCTCAAAACCGGTCTCTTTTTTTATACATTGGTCAGTACAGAAAGGAACAATATCTTTTTAATACATAAGGTCAAATACCTTGGGAAGAAATTTGTTTTTCTTTATTCTATACTGCTCTTCAATCATATCAAAACTGTAATTAGAGTCATCAACAGTTATTTTCAAAGTTCCTGTGATCAAATTACACAGTACTAGTTGAGAAACCACCACAGTACTTTCAGATACTAGAAATATTTCCTTCACAATAAATAATATGCTAGATAGCCAGGATTCGGATGGTTTGAATTGAGACTACGCTTTGAGCTGTGTCACGCCTAGTATACCACTAATGAGCGAAAAGGCCGGCTGGCGTCTGTAGGTTATTTCTGTCCGGCTAGCAAAAATTACTGTTAGCTGTAGGTGGTTTACAACCATTAACATCGATCAGTCAGTAGTACGTACTAACGCAGTGCTTTCGCCAATCGACTTCCTACTCTATTTATTTCTGTGAGATTAGGTATAAGGCCAAACCTAAAATTACTAGAAGTAATAAGGAATGTTTTGAGAGATTTAGATAAGTAAGTTTCACAGTATCGAAATTTATTTAGACGATAGGTTTTCGTGTAATTTTTTTTCAAGTATTGTTTTTTGTAGGTTTAATTGACTGGAAGATTTCATCATGAGGTCTTCCAATGGTTCTCTCTGACTGATGTCCACTCATGACGAAATGCTCCAATCAATTCAAACAAGTAAAATCCCCTACAAAATACCAATATTTGGAAATTAAATCTTTTTTTTTTAATCGCATATCCAGACAACTTTGAACAAATATCCACCAAATAATGATATCTTATTCTTTAGGCAAAGGTAGGCTGAAAGATGGCCACTAAAATAGTTGAATCCTTAAACGTTGCCTGTTCTATGAATAATATCTGTCCATGTTATTGTTTGCAGATAATCTCAGACATAAACACAAGTCTAGGTATATGAACATTTTAATTAGAGAATACATATTGAATAATCTGAGTTTTACAGACGTCGACCAGTCATTTTAATCAGTGGTTTAGCTAAGGCAAAGATAACTAAACTGGCTGGAAGTGGGACAGAGAGAATGCCGTATGCACAAGAAATCGAAGTCACAATAATAATACCGTTTTTATACTAACAAGTTGATTGAGATAAACAACAAATTTTTAAATTATACTATCGGAGGGGGAAAGTCATCACGGTATTGTTTCTAAACTCAAGACATTCTTTCTAGTTACTTCACTCAAACTATGTTTTGTTCTCAGTAGCACTTCTATATACGCAAAATATGATCGCGATATGGCGAACAATCTAGCTCAGGTTTCAAGAAATCGATCGAAAACTATTTTGCATGATGATGACATATTTTCCGCCCGATGACCATGTCACCATTTGGCAAATATACGTATATATGAACCTATGATTCCTGAAGGTCTGGAACATTTCAAGAATGAAACATACGCCTTGGTGTTTTGAAATATGAACAAACGAACACAGAACGGGAGAAAACATGCTCGTGTTGATTTACAATCATAATGATTGATATTAGTTAACGGACAGTTATGGAACATGGGCACCGACCTCTACATATTTGACAGTGAGTGTCACGATCGGTTTGGAAAGTGAAATAGCACCTGATTATCATGCTGGGAAAGCTTTTGAGTTTAGTACTGACCCTAGACCAATGGTATTTTGAAAACTAGCCACATGCTGAGCAGCTAGGGTTAAGGGAATAAGTATGTTGTAATTTTGTAGTCTCTTTTAAGAGTTACAACATACATCCAGCATCTAAGATGCGGTAGTTATGACTAGTGTTCAATTTTACATAAGCTACATACACTTTGAAGCACTAATGTGACACTGAAGACTGTAGACGACATCCCTGTGACTTCAGTTACTGGAAAAGACAATAGAGATGAAAGATAAGGTGAAGAATGTGTTTAGGGAATAGCATTAGCAGGGAAACTACTCCAAGAATCTAGTGTCATTCGAAAGGTCTGCCACATGGAAGTTAAAAGAATAAATACACTCCAATTCTGTATGTGCGTTTCTCAAATACAACACAGACGTAAGAGCTGAGATGTCCGATTGAGATTTAATATCCGATTCGGCAAAGATTTTCGGAGCACTTGGTTTAATTTGTTAGTATTGGTTACACAATCGGGAAAGGAGGAATATCATTCGCAGTGGGCAGGAAGCAAGAAGATGGGGATTTTGGGTAATAGACAAGAAATCTTCACATCGCAATGAAAGTATATAGGGGTTGCTAATTCCTACTTGACCACACTAGGCAAGTTCTTTTCAGTACCTGAAAGTGAAGAACTATTTAGTGTACGAACTCAGTATCTCTTTACTGTCACGATAGAGTTTCATGAAAGATACAAGGGCAAACTGTATATGCAACAGTTATTATCTGACTCCGACTCCAATTCTCAAAGACATGCTAATCTTCCTCAACCTCTCCGTAAAAAGCAACCAGATATTTCATTGGGACTACGAACGAAACAAATTGATGAACTGTAGGCAAGAGGTCCATATTCCACCTAAGATTTCGTAAACAAGTTTATTTGTGATATGAAGGAACATTTAGGCACGAAATGATACTAACAGTATTGATAAATTATAATCTCGAGGATCTGCTGTATGTGTACTGTGGAGAAATAGCGTTTCGGATATCGAATGAGCCAGGAATCCAACTAACGACAGTGATACCAGTTTTGAACATAACTAAGCTGTTGCATAGCTGTGACACACAAAAATCATATTGTAGTTTAAATGCACTATGACTGACGGTAAAGTGGCTACTGAGGACATTCTGTTGAGGAATAATCACTGATCAAACACATGTACTAAGGCTAAAAACTACGATATGCATTAGTTAAGCTGCATAAAGAAAAAATCAAAACTAAGAGATATGATATTTTGTTTGGTGAAATACTTAAGTAAAGATCCTAATATATTGGTATAAGGAACTGGATCACACTACCGAAGACAAAAGAAAAAAGTAAACGACACGGTTTTGACTGCACAAACTATCTCGAAATTAACCACCAAGACGGAGTAGAACATGTGTATTCAACTCAACATATTCGCAGCGTTTTCCGTCCGTTATTAGAATGGATTAAATTACCAGAGGATGCAGTTAGACTTACTTGAGATTATTTCTTAATCAAAATCAACGAAAAAAGGACAGCCTGAAGAATCCATTGTTGAAATTTTTATTTTTGAATCTTACGAATGGGCTACCAGCTAACGCCTAATTTTCCCAAAAAAGTATTTGGTTTCATAGACTGTTTGACTGCAGCTGCAAGTCTAACAATAACTATGGTATATACTGAATAGTAGTCTTACGAGGACCACTTCTAACCGAACGTCTCATGCACAATGCTCTAGAGTCACAGCACTATTGAAAGCTTCGTTTATTGATCTCTGGAAAATGTAATGGAAGTGTGATTTCGCAAATAACTTGGGTATTAATCTCTAAAAACCAGGACGATACAGAATGGTGAACCGAAAAACACAATTTCTATCTTAAGCGAAATAGAGGCCTAACACACTCAAATGCACCTAAGTGTCACAAAAAAGCCTAAAAGGAAACAAAAGGTAGACAAAGGCTAGCTCAAAACGGCCACGTCTAGCTAAAAACAAATGTATTCAAAACATCAGCTATACAAATATGAGAATTAGTAAATATACATCATAATCACAAAATCAAATGTTTTAAACATATCCAGATAGTGTAAGGCTGTTATTCCTCCCTCAAATGTGCATTTTTCCATGCATTGTAACCCCCGATAAGATTAAGCGGGCTAAACAATGATGACATGGTACGTACAAAACCTACTTTTCATAACCCATATCTTGCACCATCTTGAGGGCACGCATGCTTCTTATTCCACTTCTGCAGCTGAAGACCAAGTTTTTCTCCCATTTGTCAGGCTTTTCAAACTTGTATTTCTCCCGGAAAGCCTCTTTGTCCATCTGAAAAGCTTCTTCGATTTCACCAACTACGAATTCGTAAAAAATACATCCCACTTACGTGGAATATTTACAGCATTGGGGATCCTTCCAGCCTCTATCAACTCATCAGGTTCACGAACATCAATCAGTTTTAGGTCACCATTTTTCATCATTTCCTTTAATTTTCCCACAGTTATATTTACCTCTTTATCCAGGGAATACCATCGAGATGCTGCAAAATAAATTTTCAAACAATTAAGTTAGAGGAGTTTACAGGTTACGCTCCCAGTCCGGATATACGAACCAGATGCACAGACATACAGTTGGTTAAGCTTAGCGTAACGCGGAAAACTTCGAAAAACCACAATTCGAGACAGAAAAGATTGCATCACGACACGCGTTTACTTACTGAAACCGAAGGGATTTATATACACCGCAGTCAAAACAGCAAAAACTAAAACCAGCAACCATATAAAGTTCTTCGCTCTGCCCATAGATAATTGCACAACGTCTATTGGACGGGAACTTAAACAGGTGGTGTATGCCAATGTAGATCTTCAGTGAAACGATAAAACAAAAGCAACCAGTTCCCACATTTCATAACCAATAGGGTGACAGGTACGCTTAAATCGATTCTTTTTGTAGCAATAATCATGGTTTTCGTTGTTTGAAACTTCAAGCACCGCATTTTTTGAGCTCGAAAAATAACAAGATGGAATTAAGCAAGCAATAACTTCTTGACGAATTTTTTCTCATTATCTGCAATTATGAATCCATGAATACTGTGATATAAGTAGCCAGTAAAAGCATACGAAAATCATATATCGTTTTTATCGGCTATTTGTATTGTAATAATCATGGTTTTATAACATTAGAGATAGATGGAAACTATCGAAAACAGTTGTTCTCTCAGAACCATTTTCTCTGATTACAAAATGGGAATTTTTGATTCACTGAAATCGATGAGGTATAATAAACAAAGTATTCACTTAGAGCTCTGCTGGCTCCACAGTAAACAGACTAAAATGAACTTTCACTCTTGAATGCATAGGTTACATTTAATATTCAGAGGAAGACTTCTTATTCTACACACATCCCAAAGAATCCGTATTTTTCCTGGCCTGAAAACAGTGCCTGTGAATTTGCGTGTACGTATGAATATACGGATATACCAACCTAATGAAACTGAACGTCCCTGTGGAGACACTTTCAAGTCTAGTGTAAAATTCACATGTAATGTAGATGAAAATCTAGTTTTCAGTACCTCTTATTCAACCCACTTCTTACACATTTTCTAATTAATTTCACTAGCTATAATCGGTGGGTAACCACATGGAACTAAACCATTTGCTGCTACCTGTTCCCATAAAGATGGTCTGCAAAACCTTTTCTCCTTCATTACGAAAACGAGCAGAAAGTCGGTGGGTTTCTTTCTGGGATAACAAATATATTAGATGTAGGAGTGCAGGGAATACAAATTCGACCTCACCATCAGCAAATCGTGATTTAGGCCCAGTTTTCATTGAAGCAGCTACACTTCGACTACAAAGTTCCCATTCGATCATTGTGTTGTCCACAACACTTGAGAAGTATTGCAGCATACATAGCAATAATAATCGGCCGTGCTTTATAATAATAATATATTCTCAGTTTTGTACATGGTGACTCCCAGTTTAGAGGCATCATCAATATGATGAATTACATATACGATTAGTAAGCACATTTAGTAGTGATAATAAGTTGCGTATTTATTCCTACCTGTGTGGGACACACCAATTGTACAGGCTGGATAATATTATTTAAATTACATAAATCTAGTTTATGGTTAAATTACATGGTCGCTGTCGTTTTTGGCTTTGATTCGTGGGAACAGTGTGATAACTAGTCACTAAGTGGAGCACATCAAGAAATATAGTACTATTGTCTTCGCGTTAACAAAAACCCAAGCATGTTTTGAATGGATTACAGATACTTGGGAAAAATAAGGCTTTAAGTCATTTCCCTCACATAACCATGAAATGCATCTTATAATAATATATTCTCACCTTATGCACATGACGGACTCCAGTTAACAGGCGTCATCAACATGTTAATAATGTATACATGGAGTAAGCATGACATTCAGTAGTGTGTATACACAAAATTTTGAGCCAGTAAGAAGTTCTGTTGACACAGACATATCGCATAATATGTTTCAACTCATAAAATTGAGAACATAAGGGTTAGTAAAGAGACCTCTCTTTGTGACCTACCCTCCAAGCTGTCATTTAGTTGGGGGCTTATGTATACAGTTGTCAATGTAGTCGAAGAATTAACAATCAATCCATGGTTGTTTACTCAAAACCAACTTCATATTTCGGCGATACTGCAATCACCGTTCCATCGTACACTGTTCGTTAGAAGACGGAGAAATACTATCAGAAGTACTATTGTGATTAATTGTCATGACATTGATTCTTAGACTTTGTGTATAACATCCTTATGGTTGGTTCCATGTCTGTGCAAGAGTAGAGGATTTTCGAGTCACCAATCTGTGTTCTGTTTCTCCGTGTTGTTTAATGCACATTGTTGATGAAGGTCTTCTAAGGACAGCGTTAAGTCTAGTGTAGTTAGACCTGGACATTGACAGAAGTGTTGGTTGATAACAACTCGCATTACTCTACAAGTATCGTTACTTTTGATAATGTTCTCTTTAGGTTCCGTAGCTATAAATGCATTGATGTTATTGGGCATCCACCTTCCGTAGTGTCCGCAATACTTAATATTGACAGTCTGACAATACATTGAACGAATTGTCACATATATGGTTACACTGAAGGGAATCCCAGGGGCATTTAAATTCAAATATCGTTACTCTCTATGGAAACCACTTACTGTTTCTTCTGGTGAGTTTCGGAAGCGATGCATTTTCTTATTAGCTTCAGTTAATCCAGATTTTGCCGCCCATAGCACTACGTGCAATCAAACACAGCCATTCAATAGGGTTAGACAAGGTGGCGGCCCTAAAAATTGAAACAAGAAATGGAAAAGATAGAAAGATTGGCGATGAAAGCTCCGCTTACCCTACTAGCTGAAATACTTCCAATAGGAATGACTAGACAACTTTCCCAGATAACTGGAAAATTCTGCTACATCTACGGCGTACAGAAAGGAACAACAAGGGACATAAATTCTAAAGCTATTAGTTCTGTCTGAAGATTTCAAAACCCAAGTTTTGAAGTCATGTAATGATAATTGGTATGATTAGCTAATGGGTCTTGCTATAGCAGAAATAATACATTCGCTCGAAATCTGATCACGGTTCGAGCTAACTTTCCTTCAAGTATGAGGATCCGAGCTGAGAGCATAAACTGAACTGATAATTACAATTGTATTGACAACACTGGAGAAAAATAGTGCAAATAGTGACGATGGTCATTGTGGATACATTATTTTAACGCAAGCGAGTGATAAAATATCGACAGTAAATAGAGACCCACAAACATGCACACATTTACACAACACCGCGTTGAAAGGGGAGCAGATAAATCTGGTGAAAACGAAAGTGCACTCAAACTAGGAAGGGATCGACGAAAATATTAAGTATGGAATTTAAAATACCTAAGGAAGTTGGTTGTATTATTAATTTCTTTGGACCTTAGTGATAGCTGGTAGAATAACTGCCATGCCAACTTCCAACCCAAATGCCGACATTGCGTATTTTCAATATTCGCTTCATTGTTCATCACTATCTTTTAGATGCAGTAACTTTTACTCAGTCGAATCAGTTGTAGTTGATTCTAGTGAGGGAGTAATTTAGCCTACTGAGGAAATTTCGTCATTTCAGCTGAACCTCGGCCATTTCATTTTCAATTTGTTCAACTGTGCTTCATGAATCGCATTGCGGACGATTGGATTTTCAGGGGAGAAGAGTTCAGCTGCCACCCTGTGGTACGATTGTGCATCCCCAGGTCCTATTTACACTGAAGCTGATAAATACATCCTTGAGCAGCCGTATTTACCGCACTCTGCCCTCACTAGTTGGGGCTATGTTAAGAGCAGCCTGGTCAACAGATCGGATGGGTCCTTAGGTACTGTGGTGGAAATGCGGGTGCAGTGAGCTAGATGGCCACGAAAAAATCACGAGTCTTTTTCCGAGTTGAATCCAGTTGGAAGCTACCTTGAGTTTGTTCAACCAGACTCACTAACAGGCTTCGCATACTTTTGATGTTAACTGAGACCACAAGACCATAAAACTTCTTGAAAATCAGACTCAATCCAAGGAAACTCCCAGAAACACCCTTTATTCCATGTTTCACTATAGATTGACTTGGTAATCTGTGTGTTGGGACTTTAATTGTAGGAATAACAATTATCTATACGTTCGATAGACAAACAAAAATCGGATTACATCACGTTGATAAATAATGGCTACTCGACCAGGGTTGCCGTATAATCCGTTTCCGAGATGTATTATGCTTGCAAAACTCAACTTGCTCATTTGCAGTAAACTTTCCAATACGATTTCGTGAGTATCCTTGGAAATTGCTAGTTCTGTCCAGGGAAGACTTGCTGGAGGAATACCAAATATCGATTGTTATCAGGCTCACTCATTTTATTGTTTCACGATTTTTGCTGACACGTCATTTCAAGCACACAAAATATAGTCATATCAGCTTGCCAAACCCTTCTCTTTCTGACTGAGACACTTAAAGGCTATCACGATACCCATTGGATGAATCCAAACCAACAGTAGCTCTGTGTGAGTCTATTGTCGCCAATTTTCGTGTACTGCGCACAGCTCCGTATTAAACGATACAAAAGCGTGAAGAGTTCGCTTATGTGATTTTACCTGGGTAGTTCGGGAATAAATAGGCTAACTTGATGCGCAGCAATACGACTGTGGTCTGCTCTGCTCAGCTTGTAGCGTTTTTCCATTTCTCGTTTCCCTTTGTATGATAGTGAGAATCACAATGTAGCTGTTGGCGCGTTTGGAACATTTACTAGCGTGAGCCCAGAATGAAACGCTGAAGTTCTGAGAAGCTTTAATTCATGAGAAGTGCGAAGATACGAATCATATTTATCCAATTTTAACTGTGAGTCGTGCCTCGAAAGTATCTTGCTGTTAGTAAATCGCACTTAACGCTATGATTATTGAACCTCTGCTGACAACTTCACTGCTTCTGCGTTCTGAGTGACGCTAAGGTACTTTGAAACCTAATTTATCCCCTTAAAAGTATGAAATCGCTCAGGTAAACGTCACTGGGCATCCCATAGATTTAGTGACCTTTCATCGCTAGTCGCATTCAAATACAACTACGATCCTTTACAGGATGATTTGATGTTTGAAGTCATGAAACAAGATCAGCAGTCCCACCGACAGTTTGAGCAAGCAGGTATCATGAAATTAAGAACTCGAGACAATTGGTTTTGTTTCTAACTTTTCCATGGATAATGAAAAACGTAGTTAGGACTCTGATGAGACCTACCGGTCACTGACCTTTCGCTCTGACAG